CTGCTGAGCACAAGTGTTTTAGTGCTCACGCCCCACGTTTTTCATGTTTTTCAGGGCGCAGGGTCGGAGACGAGGAGTGAGCGGGCGTGCTGTTCAGGACATTTGTTATTACATGTATATATGTTTTTGCCACGCTAGACTTCCGCTAAAACTTTCAGTACATATTATCAGTTTTTGTTCCGACGTTAGGCGGATAAGACGTTATAACCGTTTTTAATTATCAGTTAAAAAATTTTAACGGTTTTCAGAAAAATTATGTTTTTCATGGTAGCATCCCGAATCAGTTTTCGCAAAATAAGTATTTTATTTATTTATTCAAAAAATTGCAAAAAAAAATTGCGTACTCTGATAGTATTATAAAGTCGGGGTGCTACAATTGGTATCAGAGCACGTTTCTGCGTCTCTGAAAAGTTTTTCAGTCAGAAATTTTAAAAAAAAACCCGAACCGTCACGCTCACGCCTCGCCGACTCCAGGTAAGTGCTAATTCAGTTTTTCAGTTATAAACATATTACTTTGTCTATGCTCAGAAATCAGAAATCAGACTTAGTTAAGATGCTCGATTCAGTTTCAGACTTTAGAGTTCGGATATAACTCTAGAATTCAGTAGATTCAGACCTAGCATTAGAGATCAGTATACTCAGATATGACTCTAGACTTTAGTATCTTTTGATATGACTCTAGAGTTCCTCAGGTTTCATGTCAGTATTTATCGGCCATTTTTGGCTACTCGTCAAGAGATTTGTGTGCCTCAGTAATTAGTCAGAGTATCATCATGTGTTCAATAATTTTGAACTTTCTCAATGTTCAAATGCCGCCACGTAGAGAACCCGATCATCCAGTTCCTACTCAGGCTTCAGTGGTCGCGCAGTTCCGCGACTATCATGCCGAAAAGTTCTCAGGGCAGGGAGATCCTCGCATAGTTGACGAGTGGATTCAGGGCTTGGAGTTTATCTTCGAGGTCATGGAGTGCCCTGAGATATATCGCGTCCTTTGCGCTCAGCTTCAGCTCACCGGTGATGCCAGGCTCTGGTGGAACGCTTACTGGAGCATGCGTCCCGGCGAAAAGGCGGGTTGTACGTGGGAGATGTTCAAGGAATTAATCCGCGAGAAGTATTACCCCACCTACTACCGAGCCGAGATGGAGCGTCAGTTTCTATCGCTCCAGCAGGGTACTCGCACTGTCGACGAGTACGAGAGGGAATTCACGAGACTTACAGCTTTTGTTCCTGATTTGGTCCGCACGGAGGCCCAGCGTTTCATTGACGGGCTTTATCCAGCAGTCCGTCATAACATCGTAGGCCACGGGACAAAGACGTACGCACGTGCAGTCTCTATTGCCCAGGAGGTGGATGCCAGCATTAGGAGGGAGACCGTTCGTGAGCAGTTCCAGCCATCCGCCCCTGCCCAGTCGTCTTCAGTTCCGCCGTTGCCAGTTCTACCATCTACCCAGCCGCCAAAGAACAACAAGAGGAAGGGGAAAGGTGCCCCGGCAGATAAGAGGACCCGAAGGAGGCTACAGAAGATCCCCCAGTGCCCGACATGCGGACGACTTCACCGAGGCGTGTGTCGCTTTGGTCAGGATGTGTGCTACTATTGTCACGAGCCCGGACATTTCGCGAACCGTTGTCCGAAGAAGGCGCAGCAGCCTCAGCAGCCTCAGCAGCCACCGCAGCAGCAGCAACCCCGTCAGCAGGCACAGAGGCAGCCTAAGCAGCAGCAGCAGAGGGGCAGACAGCAGGCCCGAGTTTACGCCGTCGATCAGGCAGAGGCCGAGCAGCAGCCAGGTACCATGTCCGGAATGGTTGTTCTTAATAATGTTCCTGTGTTTGCTTTATTCGACACTGGAGCGACGCATACTTTCATTTCTCGACGATGTCTTGATGCCATCGGAGTTCACGCCACTACCGCTATCAATCCTCTTGAGGTGAGTTTGGCCTCGGGACGAAAGATAGTGACTTCAGCTAAAGCTTCAGATCTTAGCCTTTCCATCGGTGGCCGAGTTTTGTCTACCGACGCGTTTGTTCTCGAGATGAGAGACTTTGATCTTATTCTCGGAATGGATTGGCTATCCTTTTATCATGCGGATATTAGATGCCATGACCGGGAGATTACGCTTTATCTTCCGGGACACGAGTCGATTACTTTCTTCGGCTCCAGAAACCGTTCTTTGCCTCATGTTGTTTCGATGGCGAAAGCCACTAAGTTATTGCGACGAGGCAACTGCCAGAGTTATCTGGTGAGCCTTGTCGACGATTCTCAGAAAGCACGTTCACCTCATGATGTTCCAATCGTTCGCGAGTTTGTGGACGTGTTCCCAGATGAGCTTCCAGGAGGACCGCCTAACCGGCAGGTGGAGTTCTAAATCGATCTCATTCCAGGGGCCGGTCCAGTGTCCAAAGCCCCGTACCGCATGGCGCCTAAGGAGTTGCAGGAGCTTAAGGCGCAGATTCAGGAGCTGTTACGACTTGGTTTCATCCGACCGAGCGTGTTACCTTGGGGAGCACCCGTTTTCTTTGTTAAGAAGAAGGACGGATCCATGCGCATGTGTATCGACTACCGGGATCTTAACCGGTTGACGATCAATAACAAGTACCCGCTTCCCAGGATCGACGACTTATTTGATAAGTTGAGGGGAGCCTGTGTGTTTTCAAAGATTGATTTACGATCAGGCTACCACCAGCTGAAGATTAAGGAGTCAGATATCGCTAAGACCGCTTTCAGAACTCGTTACGGCCATTACGAGTTCGTCGTCATGCCTTTCGGTCTCAGCAATGCGCCAGCAGTTTTCATGGACCTCATGAATCGTATTTTCCATCCCTACCTCGATCAGTTTGTTATTGTCTTTATTGACGATATTCTTATTTACTCGAAGAGCCATAAGGAGCACGAGGAGCATCTGAGGGTAGTTCTCGAAACCCTTAGACGAGAAAAGTTGTTTGCAAAATTCTCCAAGTGCGAGTTCTGGCTCCAGCGAGTATCCTTTCTGGGTCATGTGATTACTCAGGCAGGTATCGAAGTGGATCCTTCCAAGGTCTCAGCTGTGCAGAATTGGTCGACACCGAGGAGTCCGTCCGAGGTTCGCAGTTTTCTCGGTCTAGCTGGATACTATCGCAGGTTCATTGAGGGCTTTTCCAAGATCGCCCTCCCTCTATCCCAGCTGACGAGGAAGTCTGTGAAGTTCGAGTGGACTGACCGATGTGAGTCGAGCTTTCAGGAGCTCAAGAAGAGATTAACTTCAGCACCGGTGTTGACTATTCCCGATCCTTCTCGGAGTTTCACCATCTTCAGCGATGCTTCGAGACAGGGTTTGGGATGTGTCCTTATGCAGGACGGCCAGGTCGTTGCGTATGCTTCACGTCAGCTTAAGCCTCATGAGCAGAACTATCCAACGCACGACTTGGAGTTAGCAGCAGTCGTTCATGCTCTCAAGATTTGGCGACACTATCTTTACGGCGGTCATTGTGAGATTTTCACAGATCATAAGAGCATGCAGTATATCTTTACTCAGAAGGAGCTCAACATGAGACAGCGCCGTTGGTTAGAGCTCGTCAAGGATTACGACTGCTCGATTCAGTATCATCTGGGGAAGGCGAACGTTGTTGCTGACACCCTAAGCCGAAAGGTGAGGGGTGATTTGACGTACGTCATTACTCAGCAGAGTCCGTTGATTCAGGAGTTTGCCCGGATGCAGCTTCAGGCGATTGATGCACTTCCCATAGCAGTTTCGGGGAGTACCAGTGCTAGTGTCAGTGCTATGCAGCTTCAGCCGACGCTGAGAGAGAGAATCCGGCGAGAGCAGGCTTCTGACGAGTTCATTTGTGTCATGGAGGCCAAGGTTCGAGCCGGAGGCGTCGAGGGTTTTCAGCTAGGTGTCGATGGTGCCCTAGAGTTCAGAGGCAGGATCGTGGTCCCGAAGGTCGAGGCGTTGCGGAAGGAGATTTTATCAAAGGCTCATACCGCACCCTATCTGGCCCATCCCGGAAGCACGAAGATGTATCACGACCTGAAAGGGTCGTTCTGGTGGCGAGGTATGAAGAAGGACGTCGCCGAGTTTGTCAGGAGGTGTTTTACCTGTCAGCAAGTTAAGGCCGAACATCAGAGTCCGATTGGACTCCTGCAGCCACTGCCGATTCCGAGGTGGAAGTGGGAGGAAGTCACAATGGATTTCGTTACGGGATTGCCGAGGTCGTCTGAACATCACGACGCTATTTGGGTCGTGGTCGACAGATTGACTAAGGTCGCGCATTTCTTACCCGTTTCGATGAAGATGTCTCTGGACAAGTTGGCTGAGATATATACCCGTGGGATCATCAGCCTCCACGGAGTGCCCGTCACTATTGTGTCAGACAGAGATCCCAGATTCGTCAGCAGATTCTGGCATAGCTTACACGAGGCGATGGGCACGAAGCTAGAGTTCAGTTCAGCCTATCATCCGGAGACAGACGGTCAGTCAGAGCAGACTATTCAGACGCTGGAGGATATGCTTCGCGCCTTGGTTGTTGACAGAGGTGCTAAGTGGGAGTCACTGTTGCCGTACGCTGAGTTCGCGTATAACAACAGTTATCATTCTTCCATTCAGATGGCTCCGTACGAGGCACTTTATGGTCGCAAGTGTCGTTCCCCTCTCTATTGGGACGACGTCCGAGAGCGGCGAGTACTCGGTCCTAAGATGATCGAGGAGACAGCGGAGCAGGTCGAGTTGATCCGGCAGAGACTCAAGACAGCTCAGAGTCGACAGAAATCTTCCGCCGATCATCATCGACGAGACATTCAGTTCGAGGTTGGTGAGCCAGCCTTTCTTCGAGTTCGTCCGATTCGCGGAGTTGTGCGATTCGGAAAGAGAGGGAAGCTGCACCCTCGATTCATTGGTCCATTCGAGGTTCTCGAGCGAGTAGGCGAGGTCGCATATCAATTAGCCCTACCTCCCGAGTTATCAGGCATTCATAATGTATTTCACGCATCGATGTTGCGTAAGTACGTGTGCGACCCCGATCATGTTATTCCCCACTCAGATATTCAGGTTCAGCCAGATCTTTCGTACGAGGAGCGACCGGTAGCTGTATTAGACCGTCAGATTCGTCAGCTCCGGAAGCAAGATATTCCCCTCGTGCGTATTCAGTGGGATCGCCACGGAGCTACTTGGGAGGAAGAGTCCGATATACGCGCTCGTTTTCCAGATTTTCAGTTCTGATGTACATATTTTCTGGTTCCATGTACATAGTTCATGTATTTTCAGTTATGTTCTGAATTTCCGGGGACGGAAACTTTGTAAGGAGGGAGGATTGTAATGTCCCGTTAATTTCAGTATAAATTATATTTTAGTTCCGATATTAATTTTCGGAATTAATTCTTTTCAGTCAGTTCAGTCGAAATTACCGGAAATTATTTTCGACGTACCGTTTACGTTCAGAATAATTTTGGTAATTAAGCATTATGTTTAATTGAATAATTAAACATAATTGAGGGATTAATTTATAATTAATCCAAGATTAGTTATAATTCGTACGGTCATTTCTAATTAATTCTCTAAAAGGCCGTACATTATATATGTATAAGTAAGATGGTATTGTCCCATTTTCTTTCTTCTTAGTGGGATAAAGATGTGGTTATCACAAGTTTCTTCATGATTAAGGAGCATTAACGTGGCATCATTTTGAGTTAATATAATGCTTAGTCATTTAAGTATTATCCAAGCTCTCTACAAGTGTCTTAAGCCCAAGTGAACACATAACCACTTCATCATTTTTTTCCCTTTCGGTGGATGTATATAAGGATGGGTTGAAGGAAATTTCCCACCATTTCCTATACATATGTTCATTATAAGCCATTTCCCTCACTTATGCTCTTTATAAGCTTAAGCCATCGTTCAGCCATCATTTTTAGCATAAGTTCAGCCTAAATATTCTAATACAGAGAGTAATTTGTGAGGATTTTTGGAGTGTCGATCGTGAGCAATCATCGCACTCGTATCAGTAGTCCTTCACGGCAATCAGTACATCACTCATCGGTCAGGAGTACGCAAGCATCTTCGAGTGTTGTAGTGGTCCGTCGCCGCACCGCAAGCCACCGCACGGCGTCGCACACACGTGGAGGGTCACGGCCGAGTACGGGAGTTCGAAAAGAGTAGTCACTTGAGCTTAATCAGAGGTAACTCCCGACGGTTATTGACCGAGATTAGCATGTTTATAACGTTTGATAGTTTAGTTAAACATGCATGCGTGT